AAAAATTGTTACATAAATGTCATTCAAATTTCCTTCATTTAAAATTAACATCTTGCCGAAACTGGTTTGGCTCAGTAGATAGAGCGTCGGCCTGCGGACTGAAAGGTCCCAAGTTCGATTCCGGTCAAGGGCATGTACCTGGGTTGCAGGCACATCCCCAGTGGGAGTTGTGCAGGAGGCAGCTGATCGATGTTTCTCTCTCATTTGGATCAGTGGATAGAGCATCACCTTGCGGACTGAAGGGTCCCAGATTCGATTCCAGTCAAGAGCACATGCCCAGGTTGTGGGCTCGGTCCCCAGTGAGGGACATGCAGGAGGCAGCCAACCAGTGATTCCCTCTCATCATTGTTTCTCTCTCTCTCTCCCCCACTTCCTCTCTGAAATCAGTGAAAAATACATTTAAAAATAAAATTAACATCTTTAAAAGAGCCACACCAGAGGTGATGTTATTTTGGATATTTCTATACTTTGGAAGACCAGATTTTGGAATCTCCAACTCTTTTTTACAGATTTTATACGATTGTGAACAAGTTTCTAGTCATATTCTTTAATATCCACATCAAAACCTTTGTCCTTTTGCCTTGAAAAAGTAAAATTGGCTATAGTTCATAAATGACAGAAGATGGCAATTCACTTGGGCATCCTAATACTCTCCAAAACATTTTGATATTTTGTCACATGAAGCTTTCCAGAATACAAGTTAAAAGCCTAATAACTCAGGAGGAAATGACAATTCATTAACATTACAGACAGGAGACTCTAGGATTAGAATTTGTTTTATACCATTTTATAAACAAATTAAACATCAGATATCCACTGAGGCTTATATATTACTTTAAAATACCCTCATCTTTGTCCTAAGTTTATTGCTTGTTAGGAATACACTTTAGGAAACAGTAATATCTGAAGATGCTAACTTCCATAGTGGTTTATTAGGATTTCTCCCTAACCCAGAGTCTTACTCAACATCATTTCAACCAGAAAGAAGTACTAATTTGGTATCTGCACAGGGAGCCAGAAAGGCAACATAAATGGTTTACAAAATGCCCGTGGTGAATATTTCCAGTATAAAACTGTGACTGTTACAAAATGACCAGTTTTCATTAACGAGAATAAATTTTACTAACCCTAAATACAAACTAATCTCTGTACTAAGGACTAAAAGGACTTTTGTCCTAAAGTAGCCAATAATACCCCTACTGCTTCCTCCTTGAAGAAAATCCTAAGTTATGAGCCAACCCCCCCAACCACCACCCCAGCCCAACAAATGTATTTACAAGTTCCCCACTTTGATTTGTCAACTTAGCTTTATGAAACACATTTTAAACTGTTCACCTACCTAATCTCTTTTGCAGTCATCTAAATGTGCCACATTTAAATAGATTTATTTGTTCACTCCCATTTCCTGATTTACTTGCAACCTAAATCTCATTTCCAAACCTTCAGAGACAATGAAAGAACACTGCAGAGTAGGGCATGGAAATTACCATGAACTTCTTTCACATGCATGACCACAGAATATTTTCATCAATTAAAATTAAGTGAATACCAACACTTATATACATATCCCCACCATGTGCTTGAATTAGAAATCTTGGAGAATTTGTTTTTACCATTGGCTAGTTACTTGGAATGTATGGATAATAAAAAGATGAGTGAGCTCTGATTCCAAGTGTCTATTTAAAAGCTGTTAAATGAAGAACGATGGAGGACACCCACAATAATTCTTGGACTCCTGGAGATCCTAAGACATGCTACAAAAATAGGTCTTTATTCTTAGGAAAATATAGTCAGAGCTAGCTTCCTTATGCTATACATAAAATCTTAACATCAGAGGCAGTACAGATAGTACAGATAGTTTTTGAACTGATCTCCAAACAAGCACAAACCCACTACGTTGAAAAGAACAAGTAATTTGAGGTTTTTGGCAAAAGACAGTACTTCACACATCTAATCCAAATCAAAGAGCCTGCAGACAGTTTTCAGGGAGATAAAAGGAATGAAATAAATATAAATTCTATGGATAAATAAATGTAAGAGAATTTAAATAAGCTAACAGAACTATTATTTTTTAAATAAAAATACTAATCAGGTACAAGCTTTTGTTTCTCATGCCAGACTTCTAAATGTTTATCAGACTACTGTTAATATCATTAAAAACCTAATCTTGGACCAGAGCAATAGTTTTAATACTGTTTTGCATTTGTAAAAAAGATTTGTTTTTCCAAACTAAATGCTGCTGGTCGTGAAAAATATTTTAGGTGTATTACTGAAGGCAGACTGTGGTGCTAATAGAACTTAAGTACTTTAAAAAGTGACAGACCAAAATGTCTATCTACTAATTTGCCCACAGTTAAAAACATCTTTGAACATTGGTTTATAATTAGCATCTGAAAAAGTAGTGGCATGCCCTATTGAGTGGTATGATTACTGAGTAATTAGTACTATACATCATCCCCAGAAGTCTGTTCATTGTATGTTATTTACTTAAGTTCATTCATTTTATACCCACCACTGAATTCCTATGCTCAGATAAAAATGTTATATACATCACTGGGGAGAAAATGGTCATGTGGGTATTCTTGAAGTTTTAGGAACCTGAGCAATCATTTACTCTATCTCCCTCCCCTAAATGCACAAATTCCTTCTGCTTTTTCATTTCTCCCCTTAAAATAGACTACATGTCATACTTACTTTGTAATAAAACAAGGTGACCTTCTGCTGTTTCTGGTGATTTTTTACTTAATCAAAAAAGCTGTCCTGAATTTGACAATTTTGCCCAACTAGCAAGATGTTCACCCTGATATTAAATAAGTCTTTTCAAATATCTTATATACAAGTGAATACCCCAGATCACCCCATCAATCCATTTCTGTTCTTCATATTTTATCACAAGGAAAATATTTATATTTTGTTAAATCAAACTTGCAGTAATTGGTAAATTTCTCATGATGCAACAACTGCCATCATAAGTGTGCAACCACTCTTTTTGTGCTCAATCTCTCCTTCATCTCTAACATCTGATTCAGTTGCAATGGCCAAAAATCTTCCATATAAAGAATATATTCAATACAATTTTCTCACAATGCAACTTTCTGAAAACTGATTAAATTTATGATCACTTTTGATTGCCAAGTAGTCTGCAGAAACAAAATCTTGCGTCTGGTTTGGTTAGGTAACTCTAACAATCAGAATGCATTTAAGGATACATTTTTCACCCCAAGGAAGGGACTTCACTTTTGGATATAAGACCCATTCCTTGACAATATATACAAAATTTCTTTAACTTGTCATCTGTCCATTCTTTGAAGCTGTCAAAGCCAAGAACCCATAAACAAATCACAAATAGCAATAACCTACATTAGTTAACATTCCCCTTTTAACATGTTGACATTTTTACTAAAGAATTAGTTATTTTTGCATTTCCATTTCTCATATCCCATGACATTCCATATAAATTGCATTATTGCTTTATAGGCCACACAACATTCCAAAGTATGTTTATATGCATTGCCTGTTTTCCTTGATTTCTGGTAAGTTTGATACTGATTTTACTACAGAAATTTAAGTTTGAAAATACCAGTTAGTATTTCTTCTCAGAACTTAATTGTTCACATCACTAATCACTACATGCATATTTAGCTCTGATTATATTGCTCAAAAACTGCACCCATTATCAGAACAGTGCAAATGATATTTAATTTTAAAATTATAATGGCTTGAATTCAGTTATTCAAATGAACACTGTCAAGTTAATTTCACTTGAGTGTGTATATATTTCATCACTACTGTTTACATTACCCAACAATTCTTCACAATTTCTTTATATCAGTTTTCCCTCCCAAATCCCCAAACTAAGAATGGCAAATAGTCTTAGAAACCCACAGCTCCACATTTTAATGTTTTTAAGAACACATTTGTGAACTCACAAAAATGTTCATCTTTCAACTGTGACAATGTTTAAGCCAAATAAACCAGTCCTAAAATCCCAATGAATAATTGAGAATTAACTTAAACACCTTGACAGTGTCCCTTAAAAAGGATATGACAGTAAAGTGCCAATAGGCATGGCAATGAACTCTTTGATGGGATCATTTAACTCCTTGGAACTGGGAAATGCCAGCACCAAAGATTACACTGAGATTCAATTTTACTGAAGGCTACATTTAGTTTACCCACTTTTCACAAACCTATTATACTCATATTGTCAAAATGAAATGTAAATGTTTTGTGTAGCCCTCAAACTTACACTAAGATTTCAAAGAGATGTACTTTAAAAAAGCACGGGGTAATATATAAAATCAGTGGCAGAAAGTTTCATTAAGCACCAGGAACTAATTTTTGTCACCCCATACTCATTTTGTAGGTAAGTTTCAATAACCGGCAAGGCACATTTACATATATTCCAATGAATAGTTATTGACAAATTTTAAATTACACTCTATGTCCCAGCTAACCCAGTAACTGACATACAACATACTAAAATGGTTTATTAAGATAACATAAAAAACCAGTTAATGTGAAACATACAGGCTATTGGCAACCACTATTCTAAAATTATGTTAAGTACAAATAAACATACTGAAATGTGTGCAATTCTAAGTTTTTAAACCAGAATATCTGTATACTAACACACATTTATATTAATGACACATAAAAAAAATAAAAACTTTATTACAAAAATAAGTTACACTCGCCTCCAGCTTACAGTATAAAACAATTTTATTTGCAGGAAT